AGCTACAGCAGGTCCTAATACTTCTTAACTGTGAGCCTGACTGTGTTAAGAGCTCTGTTAGCATCTCACTAACAGCTGCTGAGCTGCACACCCACAGCTCCGTGCTGTGCAGTTGTGTCGTCGAGGATCAGTTTGTTCTACGTCTTCTTTAAAGATGCAGCTCTGCGCCGTTTCTTCTGTGCTCCCTCAAGTGTGACACTTCCACGCCTCCCACTCGTCCCACACGTGACACTGCTGGACACCTCGGTGTGAAGGAGTTAGGTGTTACAACTCAAAGTTAATCCGAAGTGTAACACGTTCAGCAAGGTGACAATAACACACGGGCTCATCCACACAGTGACTGAGAATAACAGGCACGTGTTTTCATTAATGTGAAACCTGTTTGTGCGACTTCAGCCGCTCACACTTTAGGATTCGCCACACAGCAAATCACCTGAAACCACCTACAAGACTAGTTTTCTCTTAGAGAAACAGGACGTCCCTCAGGTCTGCCTCTGTCATTTTGTTTGTTCTTCAGACACTTAAAAATGACTAAAAATGTCATTTACAACATTTTTGGTCATCTTTTGCAGTCTTTTTGAGGCTGTGGTCATTTTTCATCTTTTACGGTCCTTTTTGCTCTTTTGTCGCGTGTTCGTGCAGTCATTTTGAGCGCATTTGTGTTCATTTTCCATCTTTTGTTGTTGTTTTTTCTCGTTCCATCAAGGAAACATGGTCTCCAACGCTCCGACTCAATCAGTCCAGCACAATGCTGTGAAAAAATAAAGTTCCATGTAACCAGTTTATCTGTTCTAAAAGTGACATCATGGGTCACACCAACGCACACCAAGATAGATCAGCGATGTTGCTTCTTGCTAAATATTTCACCTATAAGGACATGCGAGATAGCGATTCTTAAATGCCAAGTTCAACCTCACCATCTAAAATGAACCCAAAATAATCAGGTTCCTTTCATCTCTCGCCTTTTGTGAGCGAGACGTGATATAGGAAGTGCTTTCCTGCACTTTGCAGCCTTCTTACATAAATGTGATGTAGGTTATGCTTCTGAGCACAGCCGTGGCAGGAAGGTCTGTCGAAGCAAGGAATGAAAAGTGAGTCACAACCCTCCCTCCTGCTACTCAGCGAGAGACAGAAAAAGCATTTAACAGATGAGTGAAAGCCTAAGCGACTGCAACTGTCTACACTTGTGTACACATGAGAAGGATTTTAGAAAAATGGCAACCACTTTAATTTAATTCAGGTGAAACCCTCTTGGCAGCGGCGCTCAGTTTCACAGAGCTTTTTGTCCTCACAATCATCTCGGTTATTTGCAGAGCGTGGGGATGTTGTTGGAGACGCAGAGTCGACGCTCTGTGGAAGCAGCCCTGCTGGAAGAGCGCAGAGCAAATGGGTCAGCATTGTTCGTCGGCCCACATACCGGCTCCGCTTGACGCTGGGCACAAAAACTCCACTGAGGACGTGCACATTCACGCTCCCGGCCTGAATAAAACCCTGTTTGCTCAGATTTCAGCCTCTACGGGGGCAAAGAATAGGAGACGGCTCGCAGGCGCACCGCTGCTGCATGAGGATTTCTGAATAAACGCCACATGTGACATAATTCAAAGCAGCATTAACGTCACACGGTAGATTTCCTGAAACGAAGCAGGCTAACAGACATTTTGTGATAAATGACACCACTTGGTATTTGCAGTATGGTAAGAAAATATGCGGTGCTGAGTGAAGGGCTGTTTGTTGCTGAGCGATTTACAGGATAACATATGAGACATCAGCCAATAAGCTTCTAATATGTCATATTAAAACAGACGACACAGCATGCAGTCAGGAGGTTTGTCAGAGCAGGACAGAAATGTCCAAAATGAACCGACTTCTAGTTTGCAGTTTTAAAAGATTCAATCAGAAATTATTGTTTTTTAATGCTTTTGAAAATAAAACTAAAAAGATTGCATGAAAAGGTGGAGGCTTAACTGATACCTGCAGGTTGTTTTTGCATTCTCAGCAGCAATAGTTTCACGACTAGTGTTCACAAAGCACGAGGGTCACAGACAATGACAATGACCCCTCAGTGTGGTTATTTTTAATCAGTATTCTGACGCATATCCAGACCCACCCAAGCAGAGATGCCCAGACCTCCTCCAGCTCCTCTGGGGTGGACACTGAGGTGTTCCCAAGCCAGCTGAGGGACACCTGTCCAGCGTGTCCCGGGTCTCCTCCCAGCTACAGGTGCCCACAACACCTCACCTACGAGGCCTCCAGGAGGCATCTTAGTCTGATGCCTCTGCTTGATCCCTTCGATATGATAACGATACATGGACTGAACCCATTTACGCACATTCATATAGGCACTTCTTTTCTCCATCTAGCTGCTTACTGTCTAACATTCAGACTCCAATCAATGCATCAAGGGCAACTCGGGGTTCAGTTTCTTGCCCAGGGATACTTTGCCACGTACACTAGAGCAACCAAGGAATTGGCTCACCAATCCTGCGATTAGTAGATGGCCTGCTCTACCTGCTGAGCCACAGCCAGCCCATTATGGAGCACCTGAAAGGCCGAGCTCCTCACCCCATCTCTAAGGCTGAGCCCAGTACAGAGTGTACTACACATTTATAAAAACCGTTACAGTTTTTCATTTTCAAATATTTTTTAATTTCAAGTGTTGTTTAAATGTCTTTGTTATCTTTAAATTAATATATACAAGATATTGGATAATATGGTAAATGGCCTGTATTTATATAGCGCTTTACTAGTCCCTAAGGACCCCAAAGCGCTTTACACATCCAGTCATCCACCCATTCACACACACATTCACACACTGGTGATGGCAGCTACGTTGTAGCCACAGCCAGCCTGGGGCGCACTGACAGAGGCACCCCAGGGTTGTTGGAACTTTACAATTTGCAAAGTCAAAAACCGAAGAAATCCCCCCCACACACCTCCCAGCTACTAAATTATAGTTTATACAATTACTTCAAACTGCAAACATTTTCTGAAGTTATCAGCAGATTTTAAAGAAACATCTGCTGTGGCTTTACATCCAAAATACCAACAAAATATCAATTTAAATTAAAATAATTCAAGTGGGGCCAATATAGCAGCGCTCTATCAGTATCTGCATTTATAACAGCTGATAAATGTAAAAAGTAAAGAAGAGATGAAAGAAACACCCTTCAGCCATGTTGTAAGTGTTGATGTTACATCTTTTGCCCACCAGGGGGCACTCTGCAACTTTCCTGTCAGGAACAGAGGGAAGTTTATGTGACAGTAAAATTATTTTTTTAACTGCATTGATCAAAATATCTTAATTACTGGTAAATATCTGCACATAACAAACGTTGGGAAAATGTGTTCGCGATTTGTGTCTTGCAAAGAAAAGAAAAGGACAACGTATCATTTCATCATCATACATCAGTATCGTTCTTACAAATCTTGTATTTGAGGCTACAATGAATAAATAATGATAATTACAAAAAAAATATGGGATGTATTTTTGTGTAATCCCACTTTGAACCACAAGATGGCACTGGGTATTTAACCTGGCACACCTTTAAGGACATATTCATATTGGTGCCCTGGAAAGGGGCAACTCTGATGTTAACAGTAACGTGGTAACTTTGAATTAACCGCAATAATTGCTTTTGCAGAGGCTGGTTACACAAATAACTACGGAGTCGTTATCAAAAGAGCTGCACGTTATTTTTCTATTAATCAGCTAGTTTCATGATACCTCATCCTGTAAATGAAAACACTTGCATATAACCCCTGATTCCTCGCACATATCTCAGGGTGTCATGGACTTGCTGTGTTACGCCCATGAGATAATGCAAAAAGGCGACCAACAATCAGTGTAAGGCAAAAGTTGAGCCGTGACGTATATATATATATCCATTTTCCCTGAAAGCTCTACGATTTCTCGAATGTGATATTTTGCATGAATTCAGAAAGTCATCAACTATATCAGAAAGTCTTTTCTGAAATAATAACAGCTGCCAAGGTGTTGCACACTGCAGCAAGCAGTTCTGCAAACTCCTCCAGCGTGGGTGTGATAGGCAGACGTCCAAAGGGCCTTTAACAAGGTGTGCTGATAAAACACGCTTTGAGGAAAATGTCACGAGATGATAACAACAGAAGGGGGAAATCACAGGGTTTAATTGTTCTGCTAACAATTACAACTGATCCCTACTGACGCGGGTCCTGTTGCAGTTAATGCTGTAATTACAGAGTGTGTGATTCCTCCAGGCTCTTCAGCTCCTAAAATAATGGCCATGTTGTTTCTTTTGAAAGGGGGAAGCTGCTGGATTTCCTTCTTTATGTCTACTGGTTAAACAATCCCATTAGATCCCATCCAGGTCTGTTTTCATTGGCTCAATCAGCTGATTACCAGGACCTATAGGCCTGCACATCCGCAGAGGAAAGAGCCTCCATGTGATCACATGACCAAAGAGACGTCACCCCGTCAGAGCATCCTCTTTCTCTTGGCCTCCCTCTGACAGGCAGGAAGCAGCAGCGCTTTGTTTGGTCAGGTTGCTGGAGTAGACCTTCAGCTGGTTTCATGTTACACACCTAAAGCCTAAACCCCCCTCCCCCACAGATGGCTTTTATTCCAACACATTAAAGGAAGAAGATCTTAGCTGTTAATATTTAAAACCCAAACGCAACAACCCCTCCCGGAGTCAAAGGACGAGCTCAAAGCGAGAGAGAGGCACCTGGGAAGCCGGCAGGGTCGCCGGGAAGGTGAGGAGAAGTGATGGAGGTGTGGCGGGGAGGGGTTCCAGATTAGGAGCAGGAGGGAAAGCAGTGACAGGCTGCCTTCTTCCAACTGCGTCAACAGCAGACTGTGCGTAATCTGGGTGCGCGTTCAGACACGAAAAGGCAAACAGCAAAACTGGAATGTGAAACGCAGCATATTATGAGGAAAGTGTGTGTGTGTGTGTGTGTGTGTGTGTGTGTGTGTGTGTGTGTGTGTGTGTGTGTGTGTGTGTGTGTGCCGGAAGGTTCCTTACCGTGGCCGAAGTCAGGCTGCTGTCCGCGAGCGTGAGGTGATGCGGCTCCCATCTCCGCAGGAACTTGGAGGTGAGGATCTTGCTGAGGAAGGTGCGGGGGTGTTTGACCACGCACACCTGGATGTCCCCCTCATGGAGCAGCTTGTATCGCATCCCGCTGCTGCTGCAGTGATGCAGGGACCTCTTGCACGGCCCCGCGCCCAGCTTCGTGTTGTTATTGCTCTCCGACATGTCCGCCAGCAGAGGCTTGTTCTCCTCGCACTGGTAGAACTGATTGTTGTGCGGCTCGCTGCCTTCAACGCCGCCGCCGCTGGTGAAATCCATAGTTGTCTGTAATCCAACAGTTTCTGCTCTCAAGGGGGGGAGAGTGAGCGCGTCGCCACGACACGACAATCCGACATGAATATGTAAAAAACCAATATTAATAATAATAATTTTTAAAAAAAATGAGGTCGTTCAGATCGAGCTTGGGGGTGGGGGGTGAGGGGGGGTACCTACCTACCAACCAACTGCTACAACACGACCTCGGTTACTGTAGACAGGCGCAGAAACGCCACCGATCAGTGTCTCAAGGCAGGAGATCCAGATGTGGGGAGATTTTCGTGACACACTGCAAATAATCCACCATTTTCCTCCCCGCACAATGCCCCATAAATTGTCTCCACGGTGCGCGTCTCGCCTCCCCCTCCACCACCGCCACCAACGAGCTACTCAATATGTTAGGGCCATGGCCTTATCCATTCCGTCCGCCCTGGCTCCAAACGCAATAATCCACAGCGAGAAACGTGCGGGATTCACGAGGAAACGGGACGAGTATCCAATGGCGGCGACCGTGGGCTCCTCCGTGGGATTTTGTGGTCATTACAAGCTCACTGGCACGGTTTCCTTTTATTCAGTCTTTTCCCCCTATCTTGGTGTAAAGCAGCCAGCACTCTCCGGCAGCGCCGAGCCGATTGGTCCTCGCTCGTTCATGTGACACCGGACTGACGTCAATGGGGAGGTGAGCGGATGAGCCGTGTGTCTTTTGCGCTTGAGTGTCTGCCGAGGGCGCACGCTCGAGCTTCGCTCACCCTCCTCCCCCGTGCGCGCAGAAAAATGGAGGAGGGCGCAGCGACTTCAGGCGAATCCTCATTTTCTTTTGCCAGTTCTGAGGAAATGATGCAGCGTCGTCACTTTCCAGGGAAGGAAAAGACGATCGCTGGCGGGCTGATGCGTGCAGGCGACGGGCAGTTTACACAGCTCCGAGCTGCTGATCGAAATCTGCCCCCACAGCCAGATTAGATACATCTGCCATTTGCAAAGGCAGAGGTTAGTTTTCTGTGGCTCTCAGAGACAACTTTGTGAACAGAAATGGGGAACAGAAAGGAAAGGGATTGATTTTTTTAAAGTAATATACATTATGTACATAAAATGAAGAAATTTGTATTTACAGGCCTCAATGTTGGATATCATTTGTTATAAATTCTGAAACCAGATCGGACAGAAAAGTAAATGATCCCTTTAAGTGTATAGACTCAGCAGTTATGATAATATGACAGCAGCTGGGAATGATTATTTGAAAGCAGAACATAAAGCCTGAGAGCTTCACTGCATTATATTCCAGTATGTGTTGAACCTGAATCTTTTGCAAAAATGAATCAGTATCATGAAGAGGCTGCTATGAAAGCTGCAACCACCAAACACCCGCAGAGGGTCAGATAAGTCCTGAAGAGTCAGCTGCATGGGAAGAACAAGACCTGGGCAATGAACACCTAAGGCCTGCCGGTGATCAGGTACCCTGCTGGGATAATAAGCTGACCAAAGAAGGAGATAGGAGCCACTGACTCTGACTGACATGGGGGCTTTCTCCCCAGATCCAGCACCCTGAAACTGTGTGCTACGTGGAAGAAAGGTGGCTGAGGACTAGTGAGTGTCAGAGCCGCTGTCCAGGAGGAAACAACAGATCCATGAGTAGCCTACATCTGGAAGATGGCCACAACTGATAGTGTGCTTAGTGAATACCTCAGGCAGCAGCAACCTGAGAAAGGGGAGGGCCCTGCACAGCATATCTGATAGAAGAAGTGACTAAAGTGGCTAATAATTGAGAAATCCTACCAGTGGCTGAACAAAGTTGAACTGAAAGACAGCACAGAGGGACTAATCATGGCAGCACAGGAACAAGCTCTGAGCACAAGCTCCATAACATAAAATAAGTATACATAACAGCAGGGTGCAAGATGCTAGCAGGCAGGGCATACATGGAACGCCATGACATGGAAGTCATTCTCGAGTGATCGAGCGGAGAAACTGGTGATGGCTAACCAACCGTACATAGTGGTGGTAGACAAGCAGAGAAAGATGGCTGTAGTGATAGATGTAGCGATACCAGATGACAGCAACATCAGAAAGAAGGGAAACGAGAAGCTGGAGAAGATGTGGAGGGTGAAAGTAACAGTGGTCCCAGTGGTAATCGGAGCGCGGGAACAACATCCGAGATCTCTGTTCTAGGAACAGCTAAGATACTGCGCAGGACCCTCAAGCTCCCAGGCCTCCGGTAGGACCCGAGCTTGACGGATAAAAGACTGCCTGCAGGGGCAAGAGGGGAATTTATATATGTCAGCAGGTGCAAGCTGAAGGCTTTCCTGTGGCCCTAAGAGTCCCTGAACCGAAACCTCATCTAAAATCTGTGCATAGCCTCAAAAGCATGCAAGACAGACGAAGACAGACGAAGAGTCTCATCAGCAAGAATGTGACAAGCCACCACAAAGGAGAACTGAAAAACCCAACTGCTACAAAAAGCATGTACATTTACATGCCATAACATCTGTCACATGTGCTGTGTGACTGGCATTCAGGTTGACTGAATGCCAGTCTTTGGACGTTTGGACCTCATCCTGTGCTCGCGGAGTCTTATTCTGACAATTTGGTCAGAAACCTGCATCCAAGTAGCCCACTCAAGGTCATTTTATAGGGCTGTGGCAGCGGTCTCGCTGCTCCTCCTCTCCCAAAGGAGCAGATACCAGTCCTGCTGCTGGGTTGATGGCCTTCTACGGCCCATCTCCCATTATCTCTCCCAGACTCTTGAGGCTTTGGAAGCCTGTTGCCTCCACTAAAAAAAAGTATCCATAACTCGACTTATTTTATGACTTAGCGCTGCCAATCAGTAATCTACGTGAATTATGTCATTTCCTTGTTACCTGGAAGCTAAAGCCCTCAGCTACAAATGTTACAACTAACCTACCAGGTCATGAATGCACAAATCGCTGAGTATTTTCAGCATGGCTTCACAAATGATGAAATCCTTCTGTTATTAGCTGAATCACATGGCGGAAAATAACTTGAAATTTCCATATGAGGCTGTTCTGCAAGACATAGCAAACTTTGCATGATCTTATAAAAGTCTACTGGCTACGATATGACAAAGACACAGACAAAAAGGTAAAACTAGAGAAACATGAGTGAGGTGGGACAAGATGAGAGCAATGGTACGTGGAGAGCACTTGCAAAACTATCACTCGTTGGATGTTGTTTTATTGTTGTGTGTCGGTTCTCAGTCATCCAATCATCCATCTTGATTGTTTGCAAAAAGACAGCTTCCAGTTATTGTTGTTTATCAAGTTTTCCCTTAGTTTTTTTTGAGAAGCCCAGAATAAATAGACTTTCTCAAATTAAAGTTGACCCCTGGTATTCGCAGGGGTTAGGGACTAAAACCGTGAACACGTGAGACCTGTCTAAAAATGCTAGAAACGGCCTATTTTAACAGGTCAAACAGAAGATATTCCTTAAGGTATCATCCTAAAAACACTTTGCAAATGCCAGCCAATAGGGTTTAAGTAGCATTGTGCCTATTTCAGCTTCCCAAAGCTGCATTTTCTTTCCCGGAAGCTTTGTGTTCGGAATTTCCACATAATTTTTTAAGAACAAAACCCAAACATTTTATTGCTATTTTACTGTGTTTACGTTAATATATTAATATTTGAAAATTAGTAAATAATGATTTTTATCATTCAAAAATGTATTTAGTCATGAAAATACTAAATATATTTTTGCCCCAGCAGAATGACTAACCAACAGGATTATGTCCACATCCACACGTCAGAGGATATTGTATACCTTTGGTTTTACTCTCGTCCATCAAAAAAGCCATCAGAGCAGCTTTGGACCCCGACAGGTTTATTTTGGATCGCAAAGATCAACTTGCCACAACTTGCCAATGTCCGTCATAGATGTCTCATCCAAGCGGATGTTGAACAATACGAGCCCCGGAGTCATGCCTTCCCAGCCACTGCTGACAGTCACCGTGACTCATGTTTCCACTTACTCACATACACAGGTGGGTCATAAAAAAATGCTTCCCAGGTAGATGCTTTACATTAAGGCAATGGCTGATTTTCCTAACCCTCTGTGCATTTCAGCTCTGTTACCTGTTTAGTTTCATGGCAGAACTTCTACCCACAGAGGCCGTTTATCTGTGCATCATACAAATCAGCAGAAATACAAACATGTATTTGAATGACAAATGCACAGGTGATGAGGGGGTGGCGATATTTATCCATGGTGGGTAATCTCCCTTTGATTAAGTGTGATCTCTGTGGTTTTTCTTAAGTATTACATTCAACATCCTGAACATATCACTGATGAAAATGATGAGAAAAAAGGCATGAAAAATAGAGAGTGCCAAGCCCGATTGTGTTCTGTGTACTTAATGACATCATGAGGCTCCAAAGTAAGAGTAACTACGCATTTGTTACTGGACAGTGACAGAACTCAGTTTCAGCATTCAGAAATACAAATAGATGGAATTTAAAGAGAAAACATCCTATCGAGATGCAATATGATGCAAACAGACACGTAAAATGTCTGTGCAATGTGACCACAAAGAGACACAAAGATACTAAAAGGAGCTACAAAGAGACAGAAAGTTATTACAGACAAAGCGACACCAGTCGCTTCTGTGTTTTTACAAACATGTAAGTGTCAGTGAGAGCAAAGGTTCAGACAGCGTTTAAACTCTGCCGACATAAGTTTGATTTTACTGAACAAGCTATAGGCTGTGCAAGCCAGTACCTGGAAAAAAAGATGTTAGATGTCCTAAAAATGTGGGAAATAACCATTTTTTCATCCCTCAAACACTTCAAAGGGGGATCACATCTTCATATATACACAGGGAACAACAAAAAGGTTTGGGCATGAGAAAACCTTATTAGGATTGGAACATGCACTCCACAGATACTTTATTATGAACACATTGCTAGTGCCGGGCTGGACGCCCTTCTTCACAGCACAGATTCAAGGTGGTGAATCCTCAGAGATTCTGGTCCGTGTTGACATCACACAGTTGCTGTAGATTTGTCGGCTGCACATCCACGACAGGAATCTCACGTTCCACCACATCCCAAAGGCGCTGCGCTAGTTTGAGATCTGGTGACTGTGGAGGCCATTGGAGTGCAGAGAACTGGTTCAAGAAACCAGTTTTGAGATGCTTTGAGCTTTGTGACGCTGTGTGCTGGACGCACCCATCAGAAGATGGGTACAGTGTGGTCATAAAGGGACTGACACGGTGAGCAATAATACTCAGGCATGCTGCTGCATTTAAATTATGCTCATTTATTTCTGAGGGGCCCAAAGCATGCCAAGAAAATATCCCCACTAATCTGAACCACAGTTGTGCTGTGTGTGGGTTATCTTGTCTGGGCCTCCGTACCTGTGTAAAATGTAGGGCAGCTCACATCTATAATGTGGGCATACTGTGGGTACGCCACGGGCCCTCACTGTGGGCCTCTCTCTGTTTAGTGTGGGCTGTCCACACTAAACAGATTTCACACCTGTACTGGGCCATAGTGGGGTCTGTTCATACCCCGAGTGGGCATTTTGCAGGGTTTTCACCCAGAATTATCGCTCACTGTATATTTCTCAGATTATTCTCAGGTAACTCTACACATGATTAATTAGATCAGCAGTTTCTGAACCACTCAGCCCATCTAGCACCAACAATCATGTCAGGTTAAGAGTCACTGAGATTACTTCTCTATTCTGATAGGAGGTTTAATCTTGAAATACAAGTTGTTGCCATGTGATTGGCTGATTAGATAATTGCATGGTGTACCTAACAAAGCAGCGAGTGAGTCCTTATGAAGGAGAAAGGCTGTTAAAAGAGAGAGCAGGAGCTTAAAATCTCTTCCCAAAGGTCCCAAACCACAATGCCTACCTCAGTATCACCTCTGAGGTTTACACATGCTTCCCCTGGGTCATCTCACCTTTCTCGTAGAGACCCCACCCCTACCATACCGCCAACAGTGCCTCAAAAGGAAAGCTCATCCTGTTGCAACACCTCGGGCCCTCCGGTGAGTGTTGTTCAGGAGACGAGTTATAACAGGCAGAGTCTACTGTGGTCTTATTGGAAATCATTTCCCCTTGTGGGACTAATAAAGGTATATCAAATCAATTCAAACAAAATACAAAGGAAATGATGCAAGTTCCATCAAGGATGGAGTTTGTCTCGGCAATAATGAAAATAATCTTGAAATAATATCTGACGACCGTTTCCACTGTTTTAGCAATTACAGCCATTCTGTGCTCTCACTGCATTCAGGATCGTTTTTTCCCAATGCCTGACAAAGATGTTCTTACTGGGTTGAGATCAGGTTACTCGCTTGGCCGTGTAAGACTATCCCATTTCTCTGGAAATTCACAGTCATTACAGATTGTGAAAAAGTAAAAACAAAACAAAACAATGAAAACGTCATTTTTACCCTCCTAAATTAAACTAGCCCTGCAGGTACCGATAGTTGAGATTCAGTGGCCTGAAGATAAATAACAATGTAAAGTTGGGGAGTTTACTATAAAATGCAGTTGCGTGTAGGTTTTGCTGAAGCACATTAAACAGAGGCTCTGAGGTCACACATGTCATTTCCTGCATATTTTTGTGCATCAACTTCTACCTTCATTAGCATCCAGGTGTAAGTTGTGGAGGCAGCAGTCTAAGCAGAGATACCAAACCTGCCTCTCCTCAGCCACTTCCTCCAGCTCTTCTTGGGGGACACCAGGCCATCCCCAAGAGGCACGAGCCCCCCAGTGTGTCCTGGTCTACCCAGGGGTCTCCTCCCAGGTGGACATGCCTGAAACAGCTCACCTTGTAGGTGCCCGTGAAGGCATCGCGGTCAGATGTAGCGGGCCTACTTTGAGCTCATTTCCAACACTTTTACCCACGATCTTCTTCGGTCATTAATCACAGCTCGTGGCCATCGGTCAAGCAGTAAATCAACAGCTTCGCTTTCATGCTCAGCTCTTGGTGCAGCATCCACATTATGAGACCTTCCGCTCTTTGGCTGCGATTCTGAGCGGAGCTGCCGACAGAGAGCTTCCCCGAGTAGCAACTGAACAGAATGCTGGTAAGCAAAGCAGCGAGGCTCTGCAGATTCTCTGTGCTGCTTTCAAATAATATTTCCCAGCATTTCTCAGCTGAATCAGCACATTTACAGGCATGATTCACCCTCCCGTCCTCCTTGGTGCTTGTTTGTACTGAGAACCCTCACGAACGGAATGCGGACAACTTTGTGCAAATTCGAGCACGTCGCACACGTCTGTGTTTTAGAGATGAACTTTAGTGCATCGCGTAGATCTCGAGTAAGAAAACTTGGTCAGGCACAGATCGCATGCAGAACAGGAAAAAACACCAGCCTTATAATACCAATGCAAATACTCCGAATGTGCTATTGAGCAATGCAGTCAACCTAAGCAATAAAAGGTGTTATTAAGGAGCTTTCAGCATCTCTTTGCACGATACAAAATGAGCAGCAGGAAAGTGACTTAGCATGTCGCTCTCTCTGGAGGCTGAAATAAAATAGAGAAGCAAATGAGACAAAAACATACAGCTTGACCACCAACAGTTTTAATTCCTCTGACGTAAATGAACGACACTCATGGGAAACATCTTACAAAACTTCCTCATGCACCAGTTACAAAAGTACAAAGTGAAACAAGACTCCCTCTTTCTTTCACAACACAGCTTTGGTTATTTTCAGGTTAGACGGCCATTATTTTCCCTTATGTTTTCCAGCACATCACAACAAAGACAGTCATGAGGTGCGAACACACGAGAGCAAGTGCTGTTTCGTACACGGAGCAGCTTGGAAACCATATGACTTACTTTAAATGTTAAGACACCCTGGAATGTTACAGCTGGGCTGTCATATCAGAGCTTTCTGTCCAATTGTGGCCTTTTTATGAATTTCAGATAGTGTGAAAAAACAAAACAAATGTGTCAGATGATGAAAATCAGACGGTTTAAAAACCTCTGTCAGCTCCGTCTTTCCTCACGTCTATACAGGCAGAAACGCGGCCACAACAGACCCATTTACGTCCGGGTCGAAATAAACCCGCGTTCTTTCTTTAACACCACTGATGTCAACAATCCGTTTACAGCACAAAACACAAACCGTTTCATTGTAGTTGTTGCTTCATATTCGTCTGTGTGCCTCACAGCCTGTTGCACCAGCTGTGTTTAGGTTTGCACATTTCCTGCCATTTCTTTTAGCGATTTTGCAATTAGTCATGGTAACGAGAAAGCACACCCTCTATCACTTCTTAAGTTTTAAATATCAGGAGATAAAAGTCATTTGCTCCTTATCGGGTCCTAAAATTTGATGAATCCAACTCTGATAAACTACAATACACGACGCTGTGACAATGAGTCGTTGTTTCTTTCACCGAAAATAAACCCTGAGGCAGAAGCAGCGTGTGAAACACTAGATGCACCCCCACTGCTTCCATGGGAAATAAGCGGTTGAGCAGCCTGGTACTGAGTCAGATGCACTCGATTAACTGATCATCTGCAAGTGTGCAAACTTTGGCAGTTTGCTGGTCTGTTAACACAATACCAAGGAGGAAAGACATCAGCAGTGACCTGGGTTGTGAGGTCAGACTCTGCCTGTGCTGGTTTCCTCTTATTTGTGTGTTTATATGTGCAAAAGCCACAACCAATAGAGCGTTCGCTCTCACAGCGTCATACAAAGGATCGTCCTGAGAATCAGGACAGAGCGGAGAAAAAAGGCATTATTCCCGTTGAATCTGGAATAATCTACAGAAAGAGCTGACATTGTCAGAAATGTGACTGTTTTTAATGTAGCTCTTGATGATCTGCTGTTGCTCACTTGTCTGTGTGAAATATTGTATTTGTTTTTTACTTCTTATGTGTCGTAGTTGTTGTAACCTTTGTGCAGGTCTCTCTTGGAAATTTTCATTCTCACTTTTCACAATTTGAAGTCCAAAAATTCTACATATAAAGATTTGGTCTTGTTTTACAGCCACAGAAAGGAGATTCAATCAAAGTCCAGACCTCAGCCGGACGGAGGTGTTGCGGTGGGACATAAAGGTGGTTGTAGAAGCTGCTGAATCACGGCGTCTTTAGGATTTCACACACTGCTTCTGCTTTTTTGCTTAGATTTAGTTAAATAATGTCACGATGTAATGTGCCCTGTGTGGTTGTTCATCTGCGGCTGTTTAAATCCTTTTAATGTGATTTTTATGACGTCCTCACACGTAAACCCTTTGAATTGACAGAAGGTGCATTATTTATTATTTTGTAGCAAATTATTTCGATATTTAATCCGTTATTGTTGAGCCAATAACTATTTTTAGCCAACTGTTACATATAGTTGATCATTATCGAAATGTAATATTTAGGCCCTTGGAATCACTGTCATATTGAAACAATCAACTCTTGTGTTTGACAATTTATTATTAGAAAAACGTGTAGAGGTGTTAACGAAGGCGACTAGAGCGTCCCCCCAGTCTCTGGAGACTTTTGTAACATGGAGAGCAAATAAATGGTAACTGAACGTCTAGATATGGGCACCGCAACCTCCATCGAGAGGTCCGGCTTCAATTCATGGAACATGAGCGCTCCAGGTGAGGGGAGCCTTGCAGACAGCTAGCAGGTAGGTCGGTCTGTGTGGGGGCCAGAGAAGTCGCGCCTGTATAGAAAACAGACACTGTCTTTGTGTAGGAGGCTGTAAACGTATTTATTTCTGCTGTGCATGGGGACAGTTTAACCTGTGAGTCTGGATACTGACAGAAACTGATCCGAGGAACCACAGATCTTAATGTCTGTGTAGGTTCTCAGTCATGCAGGTCACGGTAGTCTGAGGAGCTTGGACTTCTTTAAGTTTCCTGAAGCTGTTTCACCTCTCATCCAAGAAGCTTGTTCAGTCTTCCAAGCTCCTCAGACCACAGCTCGTAATACTGATGGACTGGCTTCATTTTCCAGCCCTGGAGGTTGCTGCTTGGTAATAATAGAGAGCAAAAAAACAAACAAAAATACAAATGAGATGACATTTTGCATATATTTTGGAATAAATAACAATAAAAAAACCAGGAGTGTTTTTGTTAGGTGAGCTACAAATGCTTGTGTAGCAAACCAACCAGTAACAGTGCAGCAAATAAAGGCGACCAGCTGCAACATATCAGTTTATACCAAATTACCGCTTGAACTGATGCTGTTGCTATATTTATGGTGTTGAAGTATTAAATATTTATGTTATGATAAATAATAAGCTTACAAAATAAAACAGACGTGACTCCAACTGCAGTCTAATGCAAGTTTTTGCGCAAGTCTTTAAAACCTGACATTCTCGCGTCGCTTCAAATTGAAAGAGTTGTGTTTTGGCCCGGGGCGATCGGCCCTAACGCACACTGCGCTGCATGAACGGGGCATTTTGTAAGCGCAGCCGCTGAGTGCAGGACAGACACCAGCAGCTGTAACTCGCACAGAACAAACGGGGTCAAGAGATGCCAAAACTGTCCTGACTGTAAAGCCAGGTCAGAGGTCAGCAAAGCTGCAGCACATCCAGTAAATCACCAGGGTAAGGTGCTCTGTTTTAGAATGGACCGGCCCGGACCAGCTCAGATAAAAAGTTAAAGAGTTTGTGCTCCAAGAGGCAAACGCTGAAATCAGCACGTGGGAACGTTTCTGTGAATATACGGAAATCAGGTGCTGTCGCCAAAAGCAAGTCACCCGTGTTCGTGCATAGTTTGGAGAATTCCACGTGGCTTTTCTACACCGTCTGAGCTGCACGCCATAGTTTTTAAAGGACACAACCGCACTGCGAGGGCCTCCAGTAACGTCGACAGTTTCCTGGAGTTTAAGAGACATTTGTGAAATCTTTGGTTGTGGATTCAGAACTGTGCTCCTACAGCTTCCTGTACAAAATCATTTTACTTCCTTCTTCTAAACTGTCAAACTGTGCTGGTCACAGTTTTTGCTGTGACCAGCACATGCCAAACAGAACATTATCCATCCACACACACGTAAAACAAACCAGCGTGTGAGGCTTAATATGCATGTGACTGAGTCAGCTGGCAAGCGTCTAATGCGTTTACCAAAAAGGCAGCTGATTCCTGCTGCAACTTTTCACTTTGCTTTCATGTGTGACTCATCCTTCCCTCGTATCTCTACCACAAGGTGACGTGTGCAAAGTTATCATGAACTGGAACGTCATAACGGTGATAATAATGGGATATTTGCAGCCTTGAAATGATCTAGAGTGATCCTTTAATAAAGCGGCACCACAGCGGGCCTCGCTGCCTCTGCAAAAACTGTGCCGCGTGATTTCTAGTGTAATAAAGGGGTAGTGACTGGTGTATAATGAATCCCTCGCCAAGTAACCGAGAACCAGAAAGCATTCAAAATGAGCAATGTCCTTTAAAAGAAAGTTGTAAAAAAAGGATCCCACACTTCAAAGAAAATAGATTTAGATAAGAAAAATGTCATAAAACCCATAAAGCTAAAAATGTGTTCAGATTAAAGTCCATCCCATTTGGTCAACAATAAATATACATCAAAAGGGTCGTGAGTATAAACCAATGACTGGAGTTGAGATCTTCAAAGCGTAGCGACTACAGCGCTTTAGTGTTTGTATATAAACTCAGACCTACAGCAGATAGAGCGTACCAGTGTGCAAAAGTGGAGACACATGGAGCCGGGACAGAGCTGCCGGCTGCCGTCTCGGCTCAGATTCTGATCCGGAACATGCCCTGACTCAGCTGAAGGCGGAACAGTCGACAATTGGCGATGCGCAAGTTGGCACAGGCCGTTTTGGAAAGGTCGCTGGGTAACATCTGCTTGGTGCGATGCCACGTCCCGGTGGTGCGCCGGAACTCCCGGATGTAGTCAAAGTTTGTGCCTGCAACCAAAGGAAGCGAGAGGGTAACAGGATCAAACACTGAACATCCTGAAAGCCCAGCAGAGCTGTATTTAATGTTTTCACCGACCTGTGTCCAGGTCCCCCACCACGTAGATACTGGCTCCAATGGGCACGGCGCCGTAGACGAAGGAGGAGCTGGTCTGGATGCACAGGTTCTGGTCATCCAGGAACATCCACCTGCAGCAGAACGTGTTTCTTTTCTTTTAATAATGCAATCGTAAGATTAGCCACACGTGCAAACTGTAAGGTCAGCTCTGCTCATCTGTGCAACGATGTGCTGCAAGTTTAAAAAGTGAAGTTCAAATGGAGCGCTATCGTCCAAATACACACAAAATAAAAGCTTCAACAAGACTTTCAGCTGTCACTGGAGAAAGCATGATGCCAAAAATAAAAGAAATCAATTTAGACTTGAGGAAAATAATTATTGATGCTCACAAAGCAGGAAATGGATATATAAAGTTATCACAGCGTTTCCTGGACAGGAATAGACTGCAAGAAAAACAGAAGAGACGCCTTCAAACCAGAACGAAGTGCGCTGAAGACAACCTGGAGAACGTTTAAGCACGATTATGAGATGAAACTAGAGCCAAAGGGAGAGGCCAAAGAACAAAGAACACTGTCCCCATAGTGAAACACGGTAGTGGGAGTATTATGCTGTGGGGATGCTTCAGTGGAAGTGGGGATTTCATCAAGGTGGACTCATGACGGAAGGAAAGACGTGAAGATTTTGAAAGAAAACTGGGTCTGGGTCATTGTTTTGTCTTCTGACTCAACAAGGGAACGTTATTGACTCACACAAAGACCCGATCAGAAATCTGTGGGGTCAACAGAACTAGGGCTGGGCCATATCATACCGTTCACGGTAACACCGCTATAATGTTGGGCAACGATTAGAAAATGAAATATGGCGACAGAATATGGGTAAAACACGCAAGTGCCTTTGTTTTCATACGCACATGGCGGAGAATGAGAAGGGCGAAAGCGGATCGTTGAATTCTGTGAAATCTTTTCAGTTCTGTGTGCAAATTCAATAACGGAAGCATTCAAAATAAAACTGTTAAAAATTCCTTGCCCTGTTTAACAGCATTTGGGAAAGCGCTGAAATATGACAGCACTTTATTGCGCCAGCACAGTTTACGTCACTGTGGCTGCGTCTGTGGTTTTAACGTTTAACGACTCACCTCCTCATCTCGTCATGGTAGAACTCAGACTTGCAGGTCGTCATTTGTCTTTGTTCGGGGTTGTCGTTCTCTTGGCTTCTGACTCCACCGAACACGTAAAGCTCCTGACCGACGCCGCACGCCACCGAGCCAAACCTGAGCAGCACAGACATTTTGAGGGTTGACAGTAAAGCGGGCTCCTCGCTATGCAATGAGTTTAACAATTCATTTAAAGATAATAAGTAACGAGTAAATTAGGGTCATACGGGAGAGAGCTCTTCCCTTAAATGGGAGTTTTTCCTTCCCACTCTCGCCAAGTGCCGGCTCAGAGCGTCATCTTATTGCTGGTCTTTACTTTACAAACGTAAAGCGCTGATATTTCACTATATAAATAAAACTGAATTGATCTGAATTGAATAATTAACGCTATAAAAAGGATGCATGTGACCACGTACACCCCGTGAAGCCTCGAGGACCTCTGTTCAAGAATACAGAAACACTGCTTCTCTCCACAACTCGAGGATTTATGGTCGTCTGTTTTCAACTACAGAACTTATTCAGTGGTTAACTTTACTGACGTTCTGAGGAAGGTGGGAGACCAATGTGGTTTCAGCGCAGTGACACTGGGTTCGTGCCATCGCTGCCTTTTGGAGCATTTTTAATGAGACAAATAACCTGGCTTGCCTCGAGCAGCTTGCTATCATTAAGTGACAGCTTATTACTCGACCCTCACTCAACTTTGGGATGAATAAATATTTATGTCATTTTGTCTTACATAGAATCATTTCTGGAACCAAATGGTGGCAGGTAAAAGTTTGAGGATCCAAAATCCGTAAACTCATGGGTCACATTGCAGAGGCCTGGTCCAGCTCTTGAAATACATTTATTGAATTTATTCCTTTGCCTTTTAGCATTTTTTAGTTGAATTTCAGTACAATGCCACGGCTGTGAGAGGGTTGGATCCTCAGCAGATTCTGAACATACTGTGGGCAAAAGCGCAGTTGCAGCAGCGGTGCTTAAAAAGTACAGAAAAACCAATAAGGAAATTCTGCAGACGCCCACAGAGAAGAAAAAAACCCTCATAACAGCGCATAATGAAACCAAAACCTGTGGATGGATGAAATCCACATGAGTAGCACAGACGGGTCTAGCATGCTTGGTGTGGACTCAGCAATACGAAAGAGAAGGTGTGACACAACTAACGCACAATAAAAACCACAGTGTTGAATCTTCTGACTGCACCGTATGACTCAACAGCTACACTTGCTGAGCAAGTCAGTGAAGCTGTGATGTTAGATAAAGTTAGTCAAACTGAAAATAAAACTTCCAGATTGGGGAGAATGACAGTGACTTATAGAGCTATGTTTCATTTCCTGTTGTGCAACATAAACTAGTCCAAATTAAAGCAACAACACTGAAGTTAAATGTTAAGTGTTGCACAGCAAGTGTGCATGCAGTGAGAGAACCCCCCCCCCCCCCAAAAAAAAACAGGCTGACTGCAAAGAAAACAAAAACGTCAGGACTGTGAGGAAACACCGACTTTAACGTTTTAAGATCACAGACAGCAGAGGCTGTGCTTACCTTCTCTCTTTCAGAGGACACAGCCCCGTCCACTGCTGGGTTTTGGGGTCAAAGCATTCAACAGAGTCAAACAGCTTCCCGTAGGAGCCCCCACCGATGGCGTAGACCTTCTTATTCATGGAGGCGTAGCAGCCGACCTGAAGGAGAAGACGGAGACGATCGTACAAATCAGACGAGGTCAAAGCGTCGTCCAGCCGTCGAGCTAACCAAATATTTCTGTCACTGATTTTATGTTGTTGTTGTTTTTAACATTTCAGAACAATGAGAGCTGTTCTGCTGAAGTTACTGCTGAAGACGGGGTCATAACAGACCACCAACATCCAGTCATTAATCTAAGGAGAATCGAAGGAGATCTTTGTGTTGAACCCATGTATGGATACAGCTGCCAAACCAAATCCCAAACACACACTTTAAAAATATAAATACATTTGTCCAGAATCGCTGCGTGACATAACTGCAGGTCATCTTTTATATACAGTTTATAGACAAATCCTGTTACTCAGAGTTTTACATTCAGTCATCAAAGTGACATCCATCAGTTTGAGTTGAATTCCAGCTTGAGCAATAAATCGTTGGCGTACACAAGTGACGACAACCGTAGTTCCAAGCGCTCCGGGTGGTACAGCATTCCCAACTGGAATACGGGTCAAATTCCAGCCTATTCCAAAAATAGCTAAACACCGAGTCCAATACACATAGATAGGGGCATTGTGCTGGGAATTCTAGTGCTGACGTTACTGGAAACATTCACAACCCATCCAAGCTAAATGTGAGACTGTCATCATCTGTTCTCTTTTTCTGGTCCTTCCTTCAAATTTAACAAGAAGCTGACCTCATGCAGCTCTCTGATTGGTGGTTTCAGACTCTCGTGTAAGATGACAAATTGCTGACGTTGTCACCCATCATTAACACTCAGCAGCCAGTTAGCTTCCGGTTCTGCAGAACAGATGAGCTCAGATGGAAAAGCTGTAGAAATGCTAAAAAACTAACTACTGATAACAAAGACCCAACTCACTAAAAGTATCGATTCGATCTGTCGCACCACTTCAGCAAACCCACATTTAGACATTTTTTCCACCAAGTGGTCTACGATTATTTCATGGTGTTATTTTGATCGTTTTAATGGCGGGATGACACGCAGCAAAAATCCACAGTAGAACCTGAGCCTGGCAGTTACATGGGCAGCACCTTAGACCCTTATTTGTTTCTGTATTTACTTTATTCCTTTGCTTGCACAACATTTAGTATTTGTCCTGCTTCTATTTATGCAATTTCTGCACTTTTAACATTTTCTTTTTGGGCATTTCTGTCATGTTAATTTGATGTTTAATTAATTGTTCAACACTTACGTCAACATTTATTTATTTTAATGTCTGTTTTTATTTTATTTGATACCATTTAGATATTTTATATATCTAAAGGCATTTTTCAGGGTTATAGTTAGGTTGTGGTTAGGTTTAGGCATTTGTTTTATATGGTTAGGGTAAGGGGCTAGGGAAAGCATTATGTCAATTAGATGATATGAATACCCGAGGTGTGCGTGTGTGTGTGTGTGTGTGTGTGTGTGTGTGTGTGTGTGTGTGTGTGTGTGCGTGTGTGCGCGTGTGCGTGTGCGTAGGTGAGGGGGTTACCTTGCGGATCATGGTCATACTGGTCTGCATTTTCCAGGTATTGAAGTAGGGGTCGAACACCTCGACGGTGATCAGCCCCAGCTCTTCACTCTCTCCACCAAGAACATAGATCAGACCATCCAGCTCCACCACGCCGAAGTTCTGACGAGCCTGAGAACGTCAGCGGATGTTAATATAATCAACCACCACCGCCAACAACATCCCCCAAGCTCAGCTGTGCGCTCAGCCACAAACAAACACCCTCCTGGGGTCTCTGGGTGTTCCCACGTCTGAGTTCCAAGTTCAGATGTTTCATAAGTGCAAAGCACAACTGGGCACAGCTGGGCGATCTGTGGCCCGGTTTGTTTGCAAAGGGGGACTTGAGCTTAAATCAGATACGCTATTAGAGCATACCAAAGCCACGAAGAGTACCGCTGGTGACGTCAGTTTTTCACACAGCTGTTTGTCTGTGTCAACACAAACGCAGCAGTGGGATCAGACCCCATGACTGGCTTGAAGTGTATTATTTATTATATTGTTTTCAGACTGTGTGCAGTGCTCCTGTGCCAAATTCATCTCGGTGCAGCAGCTTTAATAAGCTGATGATCTGCTGGTGGAGCTCTGTCGGCGCCCTTTCCTAACTTCACCTTCCAGCATGTTTCCGCCAGCTACTTCATATCAGGAACTTACTAATGACAGCAAACTTTTATTAGTGAATGACATCACTTTTCTGGAGAACGATCGTGCGCTTTGTGTATCATCTGCCTTTAACCCTTCAGCTGTCAGGGAATTTTTGCAGCACTGCTGACACCTGATGGCCATGAAGTCAAATATAAAACAATATGGCAGCAACATATCTGCTCTACGTCTGGTATATACTGAATATTTATGTAGCCAAGCAGCACGAATGATGGTTTTCATACATCTGACAGAAAAGCACTGAGCAGAAGGAGAGAGTGTATCATATGACATTTGCAAAACACTGCATTCTGCTGTTTTTAATACAGCATCCCTATTTTGCACTTTTTCTGCACACTCACACAGGAGTTTACTTCTGCCGTTTATCTGTTTATGGGTTTCCATGAGTAACTGTTTCAGAAACGTGATCCTACCTGTAGCATTGGGGGAATCGGGCTCCAGGTGTTGGAGTCGGGGTCATATTTCTCTCCACTGGCCAGGACTGCGTTGTGTTCATCTGTTCCACCCACCACGAACAGAAACCCCCCTGACCAACAGAGACAGCCTTGCTAATGACACACCTGCTAATGTCTTTTACTGAACACAAAGCGTTTTGTTACAGACATGTAGGTGCGGTGGACTGCACTGACCGGCAGCAACCAACCCATGGCCGAGGCGGGCGACGCTCATTGGCTCCAACTCTATCCAAGCCTGCCTGTTGGCGTCATACAGAGGACACATGCAGCGCGACGCAGCTGTCGGCTTCCTGGTTCTGCACAGAGTGAACGCATCAGATCAGACAAAAGGTTTTCCCCTCACTCTGTTCAGACAGGATGTGAGTCGGCCTTCCCGGTACTTTTACTGAAGACCAAGTGCACACAGGAGACCGAGAACAGGCTGCCTGTTCAGACCTGTTCAGACTGCATATTTTTAAATGGTAAATGAACTGATACTTGTGGAGCGATTTTCTACTCTACTGGAGTACTCAAAGCGCTCTATACAACATGCCACATTCACCCAATCACACCCATTCTCACAAGCACTCTCTCTATACTTGGTGCTTTCTAAGTACATTCACACACATTCATACCCCGATGGATGCATTGGAGAGCAACTTGGCAACTTTAGTATCTTGCAGACTGGAGGAGCCAGGGATCGAACCACCAACCTTCCGATCAGTAGATGACCTGCTCTACTTCCTGAGCTACAGTCAAAGTATGATTTCTCTGCAAACAATTGATTGTGTTGCATAAGTTCAATTCAATTCAATTTTATTTATATAGCGCCAAATCACAACAAAAGTCGCCTCAAGGCGCTTCATAGATACAGAGAAAAACCCAACAATCATATGACCCCCTATGAGCAGCACTTTGGCAACAGTGGGAAGGAAAAACTCCCTTTTAACAGGAAGAAACCTCCGGCAGAACCAGGCTCAGGGAGGGGCGGGGCCATCTGCTGTGATTGGTTGGGGTGAGAGAAGGAAGACAGGATAAAAGACATGCTGTGGAAGAGAGACAGAGGTTAATAACAGATATGATTTAATGCAGAGAGGTCTGTTAATACATAGTGAGTGAGAAAGGTGACTGGAAAGGAAAAGCTCAATGCATCATGGGAATCCCCCGGCAGCCTACGTCTATTGCAGCATAACTAAGGGAGGATTCAGGGTCACCTGGTCCAGCCCTGACTATATGCTTTAGCAAAAAGGAAAGTTTGAAGCCTGATCTTAAAAGTAGGCCAACAAAGTGAAAACTACAAAACAATATAGCTTTTAAATGGGTGCTTAGGACAAAGCCTTTAGAAATCAACTAACGAGAACACACTAGATCTTCTTGTTTGAAGCCAGAAAGATCTGTTGCAGAGTAATTGTAGCTCCAGTACTAGAAAAAAAGAATTGCCTGAAAATCATTTCCTTCTCCCTGTACAAGTTACAGTAATCTGTATTTACTTTCATTAAATCTCTGACAGTTTTCAGGAAACCAGACAAAAAGTAAGTATTTATATCTACTTATATAAATACAAGTAGATATAAATCTCCCTAAACCTCACGCTGGATTTGGGAAGGTTTTACATCAGATCCCCTTCCTGACACAACCCCAAAGGGCCGTGTGTCAGATGCAGATGGAATCGAACCATCAACCATTTGAATGTGCTAACCAGTACACTATAGAGCCACACACAAAATATTAAGGAGGGGTTAACCCTGCAAAGCCTGAACCATGAAATAACTGCCAGAAAAGTCTTTTTGAAGCTGGAGTGTTTATTTCACCTTCAACGCCATCGCACTCATCACACCCCGGACACAACCTGTTCCAACTGCTTCCCTCTAGTAGGCGCTGCAGAGCGCTGCATGCAAAATCAAGCAGACATCTGTACAGTTTTTATTCCCACATTCACCCTGATCAACGCTCACGCAGAGTCTGTACTCATACAGCCATCATATCAATCACTGCAGTAGCACTGATGTCGTACAGATCAGGGTTTTTTAGGAAAAAAGAAAAAAAGTCACAATAAAATTGTCTTATCAGATTTATTAGCTTCCTTAGGTATCTGAGCTTTTACGTAATTAAACAAAAACACTGCATCAACCCACCGCACCTCCACCATGACCTGAACTAATCTCAGCTGAGATGGTTTGGTTACAGGACAGAGTGAAGCACACTGTGAGATTTCAGAGGCATTCAAAGTTCAAAGGTGATAACTGAATCTCAAAGTCTACGTTATCTGCTTTGTTTCCATGCTGCGTCAGTCATGATAGCATCTGAAGGACACAGCACACAAACAAGCTTCTGCTGCAGCGCTCAGCTCAGTTTTACTGCTTCAATCTTTTTTTCCCTCCGTCAGCTGTTTTTTTTTTTTTCCTTCCAACAAGTGCTGATATACCTCCCACCCCCACCTTTCCTTTCTTCGCTCAGTAGACGCAGGTTGTAGCTGTGACATGGTCATCCATTCATTCTGACTGTGTCGGAATTTTGTCCCAGGCTATCTTTGTTGAACACTGTGACACATGGAACCAACATTTCATAGTCACAGGCAAAAATACCGTCATGGTTATTTCACGTGAGTCATTCTTCCAGAATGGCACAAAATTACACAATTTACACTCGAGTTAAGGCCGGTTAGTTAAGGTTACTTCAGTTTTGATGTCATCAGCAGACACTGAAGAATACAGTACAATAAATAAAGCATATAAATGGTAATGTATTTGCAGCCAAAATAAATGTATGAAATAAACTTCTGTTTCTTTGCATGAAGCCCAAACAGAACAAAACAAAGTTGGCGAGTGCGACTTACTTGCGATCCTCACCTCCAGCGATGACGATACACTCAGAATACCCTCTGGGTTTGAAGGCAGCGAGCATAGCCTCCCCCTGCAGCTGACCCTGCGTCAGCACCGGCTGACAGTACTCTCTGATCACCTCCCTCATCAGAGGCTCCCCCATGGCCTGATGGGATACAACGGTAGCACACAGCGAGGTTAGCTCAAAACTTATATTGCATTTGTATGTTTATAGCAGACTGAGTAAGCCACAGCTTTCCCACATAAAGGTGGTAATCAGCAGTTCCTCCCGCACTGGGATGTCACTAAAAGCTTTTCAGGAGAGTTTTCATGGTGAATGACTGCGTGTGAGGATCACTGGCTCACACACAGCTAAACTGTCCATGTCTGCAGGTGGAGGAGATGTACCAGGTGAGGCTGAAGGAGACAAAGTGTGTGTGTTTTAGCCACTACACACACAGCACTCATCAGTATACTCAGTTATCAATGCTCAGTGTTGTTAGATGTTGAAAACAGGAGCCACTTTGTTCTGAAATTCTCTGCTGCCATTTGATGTTTTCTCAGATTTAAAACCATGGTTCATTTGTCAGTTAGCCTTGCTAACACGGGGAGAAAGAGACTCATTGTATTCACACTTAATGTTGAAGAAAGGCAGCCTCAGCCTGCATTTCAGCTGCTACAGCCTTTAACCTGAGCTGTGACGCTGTCATTATAGCCAAACGATAAGCTGGGATCAGAATCCTAGCTCATAAAATCGAATATACTTCCTGATTCTTGTTACAGTTTTCATGACATACATTTACATTGACACTAGGGCTGGGCCATATTATACCGTTCACGGTAATACCGGTATAATGTTAGGCAACGATAGGATAATGAAATATCGCGATAGAATATGAGTACAACGCGCATGCGCAGTGGCTTTGTTTTCATACGCACATGGCGGATTGTTGAGTGAAACAAATGAACCAGAATTGGTTTGTAAAAATGGTGCAACTTCAGTGATGTGGAACTGGTTTGGTGTTTGTCCGTCAGATACACGACAAAGCACATTTTTTTGCAGAACATGCAAGCGCCCGTCGTTATTGTCGGACTAAGATGCTCTTAAATCTGGGAGTAATCTGGGTCCTAAACTCCATAACCTTCAGGTCAAACGAACACTGCAGCATCACTGAGAGTTAAAAACTGTCTAAATTCTTTCATCTTTAATAAAACGATCAGCATTGCTGCTTTACCAGGTGTAACTATGAAGTTTAACTTCCAGGCATCCATGAAAACAGAATTTATTACATTTAACGGAGTTAGAAGTTAGCAGGAAGCTAGCGGGAGTTAGCTCGCTAGTTTCGCTAGCATGTTCTGACTGAGAGATTTCTGAAAAAATCAAACGTACAGCTCTGCTATCACTTCCAACATAAATGAAGACAGGAAACTAAACAGCAGTGACGTTTGTAGGGTTGCTGAAGTTGGGCTAGCTGGTATTTAATGCTGTGCTACGTGATCGCTAGTGACACAGCTATGTTAGCATAACATAAACAGTGAAGCTGGAGGACGAACACTAACACTTTTCCACTTATAAAAGTTAACGTTAAGGTTCCTGATAGTTAGAGACAAATGCAATCGCATGGCAGGATGCTGTAAAAGGACCAATCTTCAGTCAGGAGAACAACTGAGATAATCCATCCACAATACGAGGTTAGTTAATATACTGCAACAACATGGGAATAGAGCCGCTGCCAGAGAATTCAACATTAATGAATCAATGGTACAGAAGTGGAGGAAGCAAGAAGAATGAGTTTAATAAAGTTTGATTTATCTGACTGCTTTGTTTCACTTAATGTGCCTTATAATCCCGTGCACCTTATGGTCCGAAAAATGTGTACTGCACACTGCAGTTTAATGTTGCAAAGCACCTCTTTTTAACTTCAGTGAATATTATACATGGTTATGCTCAGGATATGTCAGCACATTTCTACTGGAAATGCCTTTTGGTTAAACTTTCAGCAAGGAATTTGCATTTGCACTGTTACATTTTTATAAAGCTTTAATGTACATAAAAACCAGCTTCTTGTTTAAGTGAAAATAAATGGAAGGTTGTCTTTTTGCGCTAGTAATGTTGTGGAGTTGTATTTTGTCTCGCATCAATTATATCGTCGGTTATATCGTTATCGCAAATTTTCAAATATATATCGTGATAAATATTTTTGGCCATATCGCCCTGCTCTAATTGACACAACAGTTTTCAGTGTAACATTCACATCCAAACACGGTCTCCCTGTGCCTGCCAGTAGCAGCTGGTAAGAAGTATTTAGACTGTTTACCTGCTCTCTCAGGTAGCTGAGATCCAAACCCTGCAGCCACACGGCAGACATCACTTCCTTCATGCGTACCTGCAAATTCAGATGGGATAACAGTTTTTTTTTTATTCAGTTTGAGCCAGCCCTTCACAGTTTTATATGCATAAAAAAGAAAAGTGTTTATAGTTAGGTAGTTTAGAATTTAATAAGAAAAACCACTCATCAGTATTTTGTTGATATGAAACTAAAGCTGGACAATGAGACTCGCCTCTGAATGCTGCAGGTATCTCTGCAAAAAAAGAGAACATTTTCCAGTGCTACCCACCCTGCGATCATCCGGGTCGTGTGCGAACCACCGCACCACGGCCTCCAGCACATGCTTCTCGTTGCCCACATTCAGCTTCTCCATGGACAGCACCTCGCAGAGTCGGTCCGGTGGCAGCTCCCTGAACTCCTCAGTCAGCGCCACGTCACGGAAGTGCGTTTGCAGGAACTCTGTGGCGACGTAGTGCACGTGGTAGAGGCAATAGTGCAGAGAGAAGAGGCGGATACCGATGCAGTTCTCTGCAGTGATGCAGCTCTCCAAGAACTTGCAGCACATTGACTTGAGGTCGGTCATGAGGAGAAGGTCGGATGCCTGCACCATGTCCTGGATGGTCTCTTCTCTCAAGGTGATCTGTGTGTGAGGTACATATGAACAGTCAATGAAAGCCACACGCTATTAGGATATCAGCAGGTCACTCTGCTTTTTAAAGCATCCCCACTCACTTCACCGCTGAAGATGTAGTCCAGGATTTGTTTCATGATGGCCATAGAGACCCCCTGCAGCTCGATTCTGTAAGTAGACCCATCTTCCTTTGGAGGGTTGTAGTTCAGCTTGGTCCTAACAGGAAGTAAAGCAAGAATCATCTGAGCTATAGCACTGCCACTAAATAAAATTGGACACGCCCTTGTTGTCCCTGGCTGGTGTTTACAAACAGTTCGATATGTGCTGTGACTGACTGACCTGATGTAGGGGCTGGCAGCGGCCAGGATATTTTTCTGGACAGGAAGCTCCTCTCCGTCCACCACCAGCAGCGCATCGTGGAAACTTTGCTCCTGCCAAAAGGTGCGAAGGACTCTCAGGAGTCTCTGGGAATGTTGTGGATCCGAAACCTTCGAACCGGGCTCATTGGAGGCAGTGTCGGGCATGTCTAGGCTTGCGACAGCCCGAGGACGCACAGCACACTCCTGCCAACATAGTGCCAAACTGAGCTTCTTCAAACAGTACCACCTAATGTTGTCGAACATACGATGACAGTAATGCACAGTTTACGGCACTAAGTAAAAGAAAAGTGGTCCATTCTTAAAATCGAGTTTCAAAAGTCTCAACATAAACTCTTCATTGCGAAACTTTTTTTTTTTTTTAAATAAAGGACTTCTCTGGAGTGGCTAGTCCTCTGCCAGTACAGCGAGTGTAAACGGGCCGCGTTAGCAAAACCCAAACGTAGCAAACATATCATGCTTTCAGTGAATCAATTTAATGCCGAATATTACGGAAACACCCGAGGACCCATGGGACCCAATGATTTACATTTATATATGTTAGCGATCTTGACTGTATCGAGTCTAAACTTGAACTGATATTCCTAAATGAGGTTTGGCCAGTAAATGCTAGCATAGCACCAAAACAACCGACATGTCGATAAAGATTTCCTCGATAAAGATTTCCCGTGATAAAGGAAGGACAACGCCGCCATTAACGTTTTTTTTTTAAGTAACATCGTTACATGATTTTAGCAAAATGTTTTTGTAAATGAAAACTGTGGAGTTATGTTTACATGGGGTTCCGACATGGACTGTTTACAGTGCATGCAAAACCTGAGGTGTCATCCTTTCCTTTTACTGATTACAAATTTAAGTATCTCACCTTAAGACTGAAAAATGCACCTTTCTCTTCTGGGCACAGGGCGTACCTACACTACATGAATTACTCATCCACCCTCTCTGGTCACTCAGGACGAAAATTTTGGAAGTAGACGTCAAGGCATGTGTTGTGCTACATTCAAATCTTGGGAAAATGTGGTAAATATGACATCCATCTCGAATATATGTGACGATAATGGAGAACGTACAACGGAGAACATATCTATTTATATTTCAAGCCACTATGTTTTGAAAGCTTTCATAATAAAGAAGAAACCACCTCGGTTGCTTTAAACAGATAAAAAAAATTGCCGTTTGCAATGTATTTTGGCGACACCACCTGAACGGAGCATCAGGGCGGAACGCGTGCAGTTTAAAATGTGTGCAGCAACAGAACAGCTGTGAATCAAACAACCGATATAAATATGTACATTTGGTTTCTAAAGACAAAAAACATGTTACATTTCATTATGTATTTTATTTTAGTTTTCGCAATGTCTTTTATTTTTTTCTGACTTTCGTAATGGACGCTGATTGGTCGGTTTAGAATTTACGACCACACCCATTCCCTTATTGTCACGTGTTTCCACACAATAACTACGAGTTTGAAGCACAAAAAACTTCAGTTTGTGTAAAACGGCCGGCTAGTTTTAATGCTCGAAGGCGACCCGAAACCAGGAGGGTAATGCTGGAAATTCTTTGCAGCTATTGGATTCATGCCTGAAAGCATAATGGCGGATGTCGTAAAACGTGGCTCATGGTCGAAAAAAAAAAAAACTATCCCCGATAGAATGATGTCAGTCAAAGTTTCTATACATATTATTAAAGGCATAAACTCGCTATTTTACCCAAGTATTTGGCTTCGACGGTTTAATATAATTTAATATAACTAATATGACTAATGATTAATATATATAATTCATCTTCTTGTTATCGTTCGAAATAAAACGATTAACTTTTGCGCTTTTATGTTGAAGGAGCTGCTGTTCTCTGTCGGTAACTTGACTGTCGCCGCCATGACTGCAGACACGCGCAGAGCGGAAGTGCACAGAGGTTACAACGCTGATCAAATATTTAAGCTAAGCAAGTGTCCAGCTAACGTGGCTAAAATATAAATGGCGACACTGCGAGAGACGAGTGTGTGGACTTCACCGAGTCCCTGCTAAAGTTGTCACTACAGTGAGGATGTGGTGGGAGTGTTCTTCTGACTGAGTCTCGTAACTGTTCTGCGGTACGGTTTAAAACTCCGGACATGCCTCGGCTTCCGCGGAACAGACTGTCTCCATGGATAGAGCGGCTCATCTTGAGCTACGGCAGCCAGGAAGAGCAGCAGGAGGAGGTGGGCAGCAGGTTGAAGGCTCATGTCATCGGTGTGGGTCAGATGTCCCAGTCCCAGGCGGGGAACACCGAGGGCCCCACCGGGTTGCTCTTCCTGTCTGATGGGGTACTCCAGATCCCAGCCGTCCTCACGGCGTCAGCCTGGGAGCATCTGCAGGAGCAGGAGGACCGTGAGTGCTTCAGCAGCCTACTCAACAGCACGGTTTGCATCCAGGACTACCGGCTGCAGTTCCACATGGCCTCAGAACAGACTAAATGCAGGTTCTTCTTATCAGTCGGAGAACTAGCTACAACCGCAGCAGGTCCAGTTAAAGACAACACTCCCTGCTGCACCACCCTGTCCTCTGTCAGGATGAAGATCTGTAAAACGTGGAGAGCTCTGCTGGGTCAGGAGGACTCTCAGAAGAGCCAGTGTGAATTTGACCTATCCGAGCTGCTGGGAGAGTGGCAGCACGACTGTCTGCAGGCTGTGCTGGAGGACGTCAGGGAGAAGCTGACAAGGGGACGCGCCGCGAGCCTGCAGCCCTCCACCTCCACCTGTCACTCCACGCAGACCTGCTCTAGCACACGCTGGGATGTGGACAGGATCAGATATAAGGGAGAGAAGTGTTTCAGTGTCCCTGTGAAATATCTCCTTATCCCAGAAGAAGACTCTCAGCAGGTCCAGACTCTAAAAAATGCTGAAAGCAGCACAGAGAGGATGGAGGAGGAGAATATACCGCAAGTCTGCAACCCTCCAGAGACCACGCAGCCCTCTGTTGATGATGCACACTGGCAGATAGTTCAGCCAGCAGCTGTACAAGGAGTTTGTGCATCCAGTGACAGCTCATCTCTTCCAATGGAGGACAGCCTGCTCCACGAGGATGTGATCACAGGTGGGACTGACGAGCCTTTGTCCAACCCGTGGAACATATTTCCTCCTCCTTGTATCTCCTCATCTTCCTCTGATGCATCTCCAGAAGCTACACCAAGCATCTCGCCGCACCCCGCCTCTGCTGCAGAATCCAAACCTGATCCCGCCACCAGCACGCAGCTTCCTGCCCACCTGGTGGAGTCCAGCTACTTCCCACCCTACCAGAAACAGCTGACTGCTCTCCCCACCACTGCCACTTCCTCTTGTTCAGCTTCAGGCTCCATGATTGCTCCAGAAATGGAAAATCATCGCACCTGGACAGCACAGCAGAGCCTCCCACCTGTGGACCGAGAAAGGGAGGAGACAACTTTAACAAGACACGGAAAAGTTAAGAGAAAGCAAAGCGAGTCCACACCAGAAGTCCTCGACACCTCCACCTTGGCGGAGGACAAGGAGGCGGAGCTGAGCAGCAGTCCTCCATCGTGGCTCTTTGACACTCCGGTAGGAGGCTCCAGTGCTGAAGACGGCAGCAGTCCTAAACAGGCTTCAGGGAGTGTCCCGAGAAAAATTCCAAAGGTTCATCGCGACGGCAGGCCGTTCTCTTACTCGTACCGCGTGTGTGGACAGAATCTGCAGGACTTCAGTCGCTTCAGAATGACTGAATCTCTGCTGCACTGGGCTGTGAAGTATCTCGTGACTCCAAAGCAGACAGACAATCCTGCAAACGTAGCGTGAGCGGGCCTAGTTTACCTCTCGTCTGTCTTTAGTTCTGTTCTGGTATTGCTTCAGTTTGTCGGTTATGATGGTGTCCTCAGGCCGCTCTGATGGCCATTTCTGTTTGGGATGGTTTGGTTTATCAAACGAAGGTCCACATCAGCTGATGAGGGAATTTACAGCTGTTATTTATTTAGCTTTTATGAAGATTTCCTCATTTTCCAAGAACAAAATAAAAACAAAGTGCTGGCGTTTCAGTCAGAGCTTCCTAATTTAATGAGAAACTGATCTGATTTTGGTTTATTGAGCATATAAGACATCACCTTGGCTTGTAGGAAGTTAAAACTTAATTTGATTGATTTTTTTCCTGATATTTTGTATAAAAATTTGCAAACAGAAGAGGTTTGCATTTCACAAAAGCACATGACAGCAATGCCAAAGACACCGAAAATGTTTTGCACACACGGTCGATGTTTGTTTAACAATTTTTGGTGAGCTCTACACAAATAACAATGTTAAATCATCAATAAATACAATTACTGACCGAAATAAAGCCAAACGGCAGTTTTCCTTACACCTGAGCAGGAACGCCGTGCTTACACCGATGCACAAACTCGTCACACACTGTGAAACCATGCTTGTGTTTCATGCTGTGTGACGCTGTCACGGGTTAAAAATGAATATTTTCTCAGCCTCTAGATGCTAAGATGTCCAAATAAAACACGTTTGGAGTCTCGTTTCAATCATTTGCTGTTAAATGTTCTGTAAGTGCAGAGGTTGTGGCTTTGCTCTCTTTTGGGATTTCAGACCTTTCCTGTCTGTGATTAATGGAAATGTCACACGCTGCAATATTCAGCTGACATTAGTTTGATGTCAGACGTCATCAGCAGCTGTTTGATTATCCATGAAAGCAAAAATGTAAAATATTTGATTGTTCCACATTTTGATAAATGAATATTTGTGACAGTTGAGTAAAAATCTGCGTTCTAAACTCTTTTTTTTTCCCCCCCCCACAGTTTTCTGTTTTTCAGACAAAATTGATAAAAGAAAAATAAAACTTGGCAGATGAATAAAAAGGATGTTTGTAGTTTTCTCCATAGAACCGCCTCATGTCTCAGAGCATCGTTGGAGCTGTGCTTTTGTGTTTTTTCATTGTTGAGTGTGGAGATGATTAGAGCAGTATTAACAGTAGAAGCTCAGTTAGCAGCTTTATTATCTCACCTGCAGTAGAATTCTTAGACCCAAACCTCAGTCAAAGTCGTCATATTTGTAGAAAACAAAAAACTAGTAAAGCTGCATTAGTAGATATTTTTCTTTCTTTTAAACTTGGCAGCTTTTCAGTATCGATCCAGGCTCTCATGCAGCCATATTTCACGTTCTTCATCAGTATGAAGGCTCATAATCCTGAAAATCAGACTCAGGGTTTATTTCTGATCAAATATTCAGATTTCCTGGTTAAAGGTAAAAGAGTTGTTCTTTATTCGTCCAGGAGGTGTCGCTGAAGACCGTGCTTGTTAAAGTCGAGCTGATGCAGCGGTTCAGTAATGCGCACGTCAAAGCAAAAAATGTGAAGTGAACTAATCAAAACCTCACAAAGTGATGCTGGTAGGCAGAGGAGGGAGTTTTTGCAGAGCTGTGCCTCCTATACGTGAGTATTTACTGTCACTAAAAGAAAAGGCAAAGAAGAAAACAATGTTGCCATTGTATGGAAGTTTAGGAACTGAACAGTTTATGATAATAAGGAAATGAGAACAACCAATAAATAAATAACATACACAACTAAGTAAGTGAGCACCACAATTCAGCAGCTTGTAGAACCACCTTTGACAGTAATAATCTGAAGCAATCATTTTTTGCACGACCACAGCTCACATCATCGTGGAGGAATTTTGGTCCACTGTTCTTTACATCGTGGCTTCAGCCATGTGAAGGCCCACCACAGCATCTCAGTCAGGCTGAGGTCTGGACTCTGGGCCCTTACAGCAGGTCGATTCTTCTGGTCTAAGCTTTAGCTGTGGGACAGACGGGCTCACATCAGCCTCTAGAATACTTTGGCATACAGAGGAGTTTGTGGTCGACTCAGTGACATCAAGGTGCCCAAATCATCAGCTCGCCACCACCGTGCTGACAGTCGGTATATCGTTAGCTTCATAGCATAAGTGCCTAAGTCATTTTTTTGTGATGACATAGGCAGACGGACAGGATGATGCAGCAGTGGTAGGGGAGTAAAGTT